GTTTTGGTTTCCGATTATTTGAATCGAAATACTGTGCCTTAACTAAGTGTGTGCTATCAGAGAAGGCAATTTCCCTCTTTATCTCTAGTCAATTAGCAAGCGTATCACCTGGTTTTTCGTTTTTTGACCTTGTCAATATGCTTGATGAGTACCAGTTCACATTAGGAATATGCTACAACTATAACAAATACATCCAGAAGTCTACGAAGCCTTCACAAAAGGCCACTTCACTTTTACCAAGATGGAGCTTTTCAGCCATTGCTAGTGCTACTGACCAGGTTCACAAGCAGAATAACAGTCTAGATAAATCAAACGGTGGAGCAGTGTGGCTCTTTGACAACCAGACAACTCTATTGGATGGTTGGGGGCCCTGAATTTGTCAGACTGATCATGAATTTGAGAACAATATAAATAATGATCAAGATGAAGACCTATCTAATCATGAACAAAGTATAAGCATACAACAAAGATTCAAAGATAATGTGAAACTATTATCAGAAACCATAGAATAGATGGGAAATCCTTTCTGGAGACTTCAAATGACTTGTACTCATTAGACAACAAAGATATTGTATCCTCAATGTCAGTCCAGAAGAAGTGAGTAGTTCCCATAATACTATCATATTCTTTCGTACTCATGAACATAATTTATTTAAATCACGCCCATCAGTATACGATGTAAAATCAAATTGCAGGACATGATTACGTGCACAATCATGAGCATGAGGTCTCTCAGGGCAGCACATGCGCAAAGTAAAATGTGAAATTGTGGAGATGGTGTTTATTTCAGTTTAACATCAGGTCAACATCATCATTTCTAAATGAAGGTAACACTATTTAAGTTAATTGATCCAAACTTGTAGAGAATAATCATAAATCAACATTCTGCTTGTGAACCTGGGTCATCTTTGGGAAATGGAGCAAAGTGGCCAGGATCAGTACAAATTGTACAATAAAGAAAAACTGGATGACAAATCTAAACAAATAACAGACACTATCTATATAAAAAGAAACAATTTTCTAATATTTAAGGAACAGAAAACAAAAGTGAATGTTACCAAGGAAACAGCATTGAAAAAAATGATTGTGCTCTCTTTTCAAGACTGTTCATTGCATGTCAGAATAGAGACAGTCATCTTGAGGAGTTCTTCAAACGTGAAAACCAATCCTTCCCACCCTCTTTATCTCAAAATGGAACAATTAAAACAACTAATTAAGTGCCGAAAGGTAGATGAAATGTTACCATCAAATTGGAATTTATTAGAGATGATGTAAACAATGTATTATATATATCTTTTATTGACTCTTTAGATGTCATATCATGACATATTAGTCACTAAGGTAGAGCAGTTCTTCCCATTGTCGAGTTGAAGAACTGGTATCTTTATCCTGGCTAGAACCATAGACAATTCTAGCCAGCGCCTGCTTTTATCGAGTTAGCAGCACTCTAGTAAACGCCAGTATAGGTCAGCAGTCATAGGTCAAAGACAAATCACAAGAAGTGCTGTGACCTGGTTGTAAGATGTATTATCATATCCCCCGATGCCCATTCAAGACATTTCCCCATCAACACATGAATAAGCACATCCACCGTGCAGTAAAGTCTGGGTAGAACACATTGATGATTAGAACAGTAGACTGATATTGTCTGTCTCACAGTCAGTATATCATCAGAACTCAAAGTTCAAAAATGGATAGCTTTGGGAAAAGTAAAAAATTAGAGATATCTCACATGAAATGGCAGCTGCACTTTGACATGGTAGGACTATGTGTCTCCCCTTATTTCATGCCCCCACAGGTTCAGACACTATATCCGGATTCCATGGTAAATTAAAAACAACAGCGTAGAAACATTGGATTACTTATCCGAGTTGACAAATGCACTTAAAACTTTGGCTGAAGATCCCAAAAAGTAAGCCAAAGTTATGCCAATCACTGCACATTTTGTTGTGATTTTATACAACAGAGACAACAATGAAACAACTGTAAATGCTGCAAGACAAGAAATGTTCACAAAGAAAACAGCTCAAATTGAGAACATCCCACCATAAGTTGCATAAGTTCGGTCCAGACGATTATACCTATGTCAGTCCTCGCTACACTCTCAAAATTGAGTTGGGAATCCATTACCACAAAGGCTGGAAAAATGATTTATGTGCCAGTATGGAAAACATTGCCCCACGCTTCAGATGCATGCCAAATGCTAGTAAAATGTAGCTGCAAACAATAGTGCTCAACAAAAAGATGCAAGTGCTTTAAAGCAAATATTATGCATGTATTGCCCTGTATTTGTGTGACAGGGATTGTAATGGACATGGCACCTAAGTCAGTGATAATGATAATAGAGTGTTGAAGTGCTTAAATGCACAAAATAGGATATTTGAACTGCAGTTAAGATACTTAATGAGGTAACTGGTATCAATTAGTCAAAGTGCTCTCATTAAAAATTATGTATCATTAATTGTGAATTATATATTATTATATCTTTATATCTAAAAGGGGTGTGGCCTTTCACAAGCCTTTAACAGTGAAATTGACTTACTTACAGCATCTATTATCTTAACATAAGTAATCTTGTCAGTTTTATTCAGCCATATTAGGTAATTTTCCTATTCATAATAGAAGACTCATTAACTTGTATATTTAACATGTTGATAAAGTGGGCGTCGCCCTTGGTCAGGCTTTAACAATGAATATCAATGAGAAATACTGATGCAATCTTAAAAATTGTTTTTAAACACTGAAAATAACATACTAAAAATGAATATAGATCATATTCAAAAAAAAAATCAACAAAAAAATAATTCTTCCCTCCCCCTCCCCCCAGGATTTGATGGGAGGGGGTATTTGCAATTTTTCGGTCATTCTAATGAACTACAAAAATGGCTCTGGCTCTTAAATCAAAGGGAATGGTATTCTGATGATATGTGGAAAGTTTCATGCTTCGTTCCATGAATGAACTATTTTTGCACTATTGATCTCGCTACCATAAAAATATATAAATCTAATACGGATTGAGATAAATAAACTTAGTCTATTTTCTTCCATATACAGAGTGGTCTGTTATCGGGATTAAAAGTGACTTACCATTTCCAACATCAGTACACCATTAGAAAGCTTTTTTGTCATATTGAATGTAGTTAGTACCAATTGACGTTTAACAACTGAGAAATCAAACATTTATGTTACGACGTAAAAACACTGACAATGTTAAGTGTTTTTTGTTATTGTGTTACATATCAAGGACGTCTACTCGATAGACGTCCTTGTACAGAACTTAATCACGATGAAAAACGTAATATCGTCGTCATGGTTCTAACTAAAGTCACTTTAAATCCCGATAAGAGAACGCACTTAACATAACATCGTGTTCAGAGTAGGCTATGACGATAATAATTATTTCGAAATTCACGGTACGTTAGATCATGGAATAAAATCACTTTTAGTATTTGGTTTAGTATCCCCAGGTTAGATCTATATTTCAGCAAAAATTAGGATAGATTCCCGTAGAAACGATAAATAAAACGATATCGGTCTTTTTCGTAACGTAAAGGCTAGAGTACCGACAATTGTCGGTACTCTAGACTCTGATGTGGTGGCACGCTAGAGGACCGACAAATAAATTGTCGGTACGGGAGATATGCTGTGTTTACACGCTAGAGGACCGACAAATATTGATTTTCGAATTTTCTGACGCATGCGCAATGCGCGGGGGGATATTTCAGATATCATACGGATATTTTGGGAACAAGTGCAAAACCCGGGGAGGGCATTAGCCCCGGTTACCCGGGGATTACCAAACCCTATATAGTCCATTTAAAAACCTGTGGTATCGTTCTAAATAACCCCAGGCCTGTCAACTGTCCCGCAATTTGCGTATTTGTCACGCATTTGCTGAAGAATTTGAAGTCACGCCATTTATTTTTGCGTGACAGAAAATGTCACGCAAATACGCATTTTACCTGGTAATTGTCAAGCAAAAATATTTCTGTAGAAAAATTTCGAAAAAAGTTCGTCTACACAGCAAAAATACGAACGCCGAAAAAAAACGTACGCATTTCGTTCGGACTTTTCACGCGAATTACGTATATGTCACGCATTCCGTTCGAAATTTTTCGTATCTACGAATGAATCTATGAATTTTCGAATTTGGTGTTGGATTACGGTACTCATACCTTATAGCACAATTTTTGATGGAAGTTGCATTTGGCTCCCTTAGTTAATGGCCACGATTCCATCTCGCATGAGAGAGCTACCAAACGCAAAGTAAACAGTAATATATTCCAAATGAGATATTTCTCCTGTGCCATGGCGTAGTAAGGGTAGAGAGCGACGGGGGCGGAAGCATCCCCTCCCCTAACTGTATATATCGACCCATTAGATAGAACAAGAAAAGAGCTTTAAAATGTTTTTTAATTGAAGTTGTAGGACAATTTTAATGGAAGTTGAATCAATTTTTGTCGAAATAAATTATGGCTCACTACAAGTTAATGCCTGTACGATTCCATACTGCAAAAGAAGCACTATGCCCCCCCCTCAAAAGAAAAAAGTAGATCCTGCCGGGATTCGAACTCGGGACCGAGTGCTTTAAAGTCGTGCTCGCTAACCACTAGACTACAAGTGATAAGGTTACTTGAAGAAGTAGAAGTAGTGGATTTATTTATGAAATTGTCGGCTCTCTAGCAAAAACACGTAGCAGCCACTTGCGTACCGACAATTGTCGGTTCTCTATCTGGCACTACTAGGTGACGATAGAGTGCCGACAATTGTCGGTACCCCAGCAAATACCCCTGGACAGTCTCCAGTACCGACAATTGTCGGTCCTGGAGCCACTCCGTTTTCCGTAAACCCCTTTCAATCTATTTGAAAGCCCATGACCGCACGCAAGCTCCAAAAGTATGAAATATCCTCAAGTACTCAAAGCGCACTACCCCGGGAGTTTTAGAGCCCCTGTTCAGTTGTACTGAACGAAATGTAAGCTTACATTCAGCCCGAGACTATATTACTTTCGAAAACACACGTGAAAATATTGTTTTGAATATATACGATTAGAGGTCTCGTTAATCAGGATTCACATATTTCATATCACTGTAGCTTCACATCAAAAAGAACCACTCTACCACACATGGATATAATTCAGAGTTGTTCAACATGGATAATCTTTGTGTTAAGGTGTCTGATTTTTTACAAAAGTTGTGCAGGAAAAATAAGACTTGTGGTCACAAAATTCAACGTTTTCTTGCGAAACAGGTAAGATGTAAATTATTCCATTGACTTCAATTGTTTTAATTCATGACTTATTTGTGTTGATTGGCTTTCTTTCCTGTAAGAAGTGCCAACAGGAACTAAGGCTCAGCTGGAAAGTAACATTTTGAAAAAATTGCTATATACAGTGGGGATCATAAAGAATTGCAAAAGCTATGAAAATTACATGCTGTCGCACATGTAATAAATTCTTACCTCAGTGTATTCAGTGCTCTATTTTCTCCGTCTTAGTAAGTCCAAATATAGTGGAATTTGTGTCCCTAGAGTCTAATGACAAATAAGAACTTCAAAAGTTGAATTGGATATTCACATGTTATGCCGACTCTTCAAATGTTGAGGTGATTTTGTCGCCCGATTGCGCTGGAACGGAGGATTGGCTCCCAGAATGCAACATGACACGTGCCAGCTTTCAAAATGCTGTCCCGCCATTTTGAAACCTGTCATGAGTAAATTCGGTTATAGATTTTTTCATGGCCTGACTTCGTCGCTAACATGCTAAATATAAGAGTTAGCTGACGTTTGGGAGTCTGACTTACCTTTTAAAGGTTAGAACCCGAATCTTAATGAAACCATATCACCTTTGTTCCGTCAACCATGGAGCATTTGCCACAACATCCAAGAGGTAAATCATGGACCGAGAAAATGAATGATTTCCTTGTAAGTTCCGGAAGTTTCAATACGATCCTATGAGTGTACCAAGCCTAAGAGGCCTGGCAGGAGATCGAAAAAGAACAGATTTAGGAAACCTAAGAGACGGCACAGTCACAGAAACAGGGTGCAAAGTAATAATCTGCTTTGGCACCAGGTTCCTAACAAAGAAAACCTGTATGTGACATATGTGAAAACCGAATATTTGTTCGTTGTTTTCACGATTTACAGGTTCGTTTGTTCTTCAATGTTTTGGTCTAAATTATAAAGCATCACCAACAGGTCTTACTCTATTAATCGACTAATACAGCAGACGGCTCATATTTCTACGTAGCATTTCATTCAGACCAATAGTGGGAGTGTAGATCACGCAGTTTCGTTCGTTGCGTACTTCACTTGAAATTGGTAATTTTAAATATTGACTACTTCACTTAGCTTGGCGGATGTAGAACATTGCTTAAACCTGCACATCGCTCCAAAACGCAATATTTTGACATATATTGTTTTTACATTTTCAAGCTCTAAAATAAAGTTTCTGTAAATAAAAGTTTTTTTTTTTTGTGTAATATCAAAGAACAATCACTTAGTAAAAAAAGAAAAAAAAGTACATGCAGGATTCGAACTGCGTGCTTAACGAGCATTCTACCGCTGGGCTACCAATTCACTATGAATGGCGAGGGTAATTAAACGCTACTTATTTTGAATGCTATAATTCGGAAGTGACGTCACGTTCTTAATTTAGAAACCTTCCAAAAATCATATTGTCGTCGACAATCGAAGCAATTCAATGAATAATCGTTGTAATGACACATTTATCGTGAGTATTTATACACAAGATTTGCCCCATTTGTTCATCATTTTATAATCTTTCATTAAGCTCAAAATGATAAAGTTCACCCCCGAAACAACCCAAGATTGCGTTTTGGAGCGATGTGCAGGTTTAATATTCTTTTAATTTTCACACCAGACATGCTTGGTTGACACGTCAACAAAGTAAAGTTCAAGGGTCAATGCGTTATTTCGTGATAACTACAACGCCTTCCTGGAAGTCAACATTGATGAAAAATGAAAAAGTCGGAAAAGCATTTGCACTAATTTTTATCAAATGCTATGTTTATGCATCATCATCTACGCAACAAAGGTGATATGGTTTCATTAAGATTCGGGTTCTAACCTTTAGAAGGTAAGTCAGACTTCCAAACGTCAGCTAACTCTTACATTTAGCATGTTAGCGACGAAGTCAGGCCATGAAAAAAGTAGTAACTGATGTTGCATTCTGGGAGTCAACCGTCCTTGGATAACAAACATGGCGATTCATGAAAACATTCATTCGATTTGGTAGGGATTTATCCATTATTTGCAGGTATGAAGCTTTGGATTCATTTATTTTGCTACTTTAGTGAACAGGAATTATTTTTCTACCGCTTGGGAGAGTTTGAGACACGAAACTTGGAAATAAGCTCATTGTGACAACTTGTGAACGTTGAGTTTTATTTTTGTCCCCCACTGTACATGTTATTTTCTGGTACAAAATTAAGTATGATGCACGGATAGTGGGAAGTCCTCCATCTAGGAGGTATATACACCAGGTAATGCGAATAAAAATTAAAAAAATATGGTATATACCTGTCCTCTAGATTCAATTTTTGAATGAATCGTAGCATAATGTACAGATTATTTGATATCATGCTATTCTTGAAACATTTATGTACGCAAAAATAACTGGGTCGCTCACCTCTTATGCCTATATGTGTTCAGTAATCATCAATTCTCGTGAGTAAAATTTCTCCAGGCCATTGAAGGGTCCGCTCAGTAAATTGACAATTTCTACTGCGCATGTGTGAAACACTGGACGAAATGGTTTGGTAAATTTCAAGCTATTTGATTGGTCGAAAAAATCACGCGCCTTTCGTGATTTGCTTTATTCTCGCAAGATAAGGCGCTCCGTCCCCTTAAATTTTTATTTTGAACAACCATTATGATTTGGTGCATTATCTGACCAATAAAGCAGATTTGGAGGTATGAATATTTTTTTTTTTTTCTGTTTGGTGTTTTCTAAAGGCCCTATGTGTCTCAGGGTATTTGTTTAACGAAAACTAAACAAATCATTTATTTTAAAAATACATATTTTTTATTTTGGATGGAAGCTGCATAACCTGACAAATAATATAAGTAATATATGGAGGACTTCCCATAACCGTGGTATGAAGGCATGTGTATTTCCTTGCTTTTTTCAGGAAAGTATCATAACTTTACTCACTTCGAGAGCCATGTTAGATTTTGAAACTTATGGCTCTCAAACGGGGAAGTGGACAGCTGATTAATAGTGACCTTTGAAATCGAATTATGGCGATCAGCGGCCTACTTTTGTTCTCTAACTATGTTATACATCATTATCATCCTTCTGTGCAAGTATTATAGCGCTGAAGTACTTCCTTTTCGATCAAGACTTGTAATTGTTAGTCGATTGAATGTTTTTACTGCCAAATTCCAATATGGCGTTTTCTCCTCGGACATTTTCGTAAATCTCCGGAGGTTCTCCGAACCTAACTAGTTCTCAAAATTCATTTCGTTCGTTGCGTATCTTGCTCCTAGCAAACCGCCATATTGGAAATAGGTCTAAAAAACATTCACTCGATGAACAATTTACAAGTCTTGATCGAAAAAGAAGTATTTCAGCGCTCTAATACTTACACGGATTGATGATACTGATGTAAGACACAGTTAGAGACCAAAAGTAAGCCGATGATCGACTTAATTCGATTTCTAAGGTCACTATCATTCAGCTGTCCAAATGCGCCCTGGGAAAGGTATTATATCAAAATAGCTTTCGCAGGAAGTAATCTATGGCATTTTTTCTGCGTCTTTATTCGATCTTTTCAATTTTATGATTGATATTTCATTTTTATTCAATAAATTTTCACTTTCAGTTCAATTGTTCCAATTTTTCTTCAAATTAATCAATTCTTCGTTTGATAATTCCCCTTCCTTGTTTGAAATTTCACTTTTCAATTCAAACTTTCAAAGTTTTTGTTGAAATGTGAAATTTTTATTCAATCAATCCATATTTAGTATTTAATTATTCAAATGAATAGTTACACGTCTCATCCATGTCTAAATCTAAGTCCAAACTGCGAAAAAAGCAATTTAAAAACAAAACAAAAAAACATCGAACTAAAGATCAAATATCAAACACCAAAAACAAAACAACAAACAATAAAAGTAAAGTGTCAAACTGAAATATTTTTTTGAATTGCCAGAAAATGTAGCTTCGATGTTTATTTTTAAGCATTCGAAAAAGATTGAAGATATTCTTTCAGAAATAAGCTTCATTCAATTTCTAATCCAAATATGTGAAAAGGTTCGAACCAAAATATTTAAATGTTTCGAACCAAAATGGTAATAGTTCAAACCCAAATTGTCCAAAGTTCGAAACAAAATATTTTACGTAAGAATCAAAATTATATTGGTTAATTGGTATTTGCGCATGGGCAATGGGTGTTGTATTTAAGAGTATGTGCATGCGGATCCTCTCAGACTTCCGGATTACAAATGGCGTCGTTCAAAATTTTACTAGTAGCTTTATGTTTATATATTTACGTGTTTAGTGTAAATGCAAACTCATCAGATGATGATGATAATGACGATGATGACTCCCGCCCAGAAGTGTTTCGCTTTAGGGTATGTTCCGATGTTTCGACAAGATTGTTCTAATTCGCGCATGCGCAAAAGAAAGATTCAACAGCAGAATACCAAAAAAGTTTGAATAGAATAAACCAATGAAAGATCGAATAAGAAATTTTTCACAGGTTCGAACTGCAGAATACCAATAAAAGTTCGAATAGAAAAATGAAAGATCGAATAAGTAAAACGTTCACAGGTTCTAACTGCAGACTACCTTTGAAGTTCGAACATAAAAATGAAAACTTCATACACGAAATGTACAGTTAGTTTGTGGTGTAATTATTAGTTTGAACTATGGAACATTAGGTTTGACATGGGATTTTCTTATTTTATATATTTTCTTTCGTTATTCAAAGTTTTTAAAATAATCTTTGACACTTTTTTTTATGTTTGATATTTTGAAACTTTGCTTTGATGTTTTTATTTTTCATATTCGATGCTTCTAACATTTGAATCAATACATTTTTTATTGTTCGATGTTTTTGAAGATTATTTCGAACATTTACAATATATCAAATAAAATATTAATATTGAATTTTGAGCCACTTCTGACGCTATAGTAATCATTACTCTGACTACTTTTAGTAACAGGTCAATGGTAGCTCCTGTGTTGTCTGGAAACTTTTGAAAGAAAATTTGGAAAAATAGAAAGTGTGAAATATCAGAATTTCCTCAAGTTCCCATTGAACTCTAGTTCAACGTCATTAAACTCGATAACGGCGTTCTTTACTATTAGGAATTTTCTTGGGGCCGTTATTGAGTTTAACCTCCTTACTATTCTTTCCCTTGATGCAAGTTCTGGATCCACCGAAACCATTTTTCCGCGATAACATGCAACTGATACTTGACAATAATATAAAAACACATATCAAGCGATTTAACACATTATTATTACTACTGAGTAACTAAAAATGGACAAGAGATTTATGGAACATCATATTTATAGCAAATCAGGTATTGAATTTACCATACTGATTGTTGAACATAATTCTTTACCAGTGCAAGTTGTCTACATGTATGTTTCCCCAACAGTTTCCTGGAGGCAACTCATCCATGTGATTCATATAGAACTCATGAAATTACTTAGTCATAATGATCAAGTTGTTATTTTGGGAGATTTTAACATGAAATCAATTAAGCATGATTGTGACAACTATAACAAAACTTTGGAGGACCATATGAGTCATACCTGGGGACTACAACAAATCATAACCAACAACAAAGGACTCATCTCTTATTGATCTCATATTTACAAATCAATAATTTTGTTGAAAATCAGGATAAACATTCCTCTGAAAGTTCTACACTGTGTGAGCACAGGACTGTGGGTCCTTTATTCAAATAGGAATCACTCTTTCTCAAATGGGCTTTTGGAATCACTCACTTGTCCGTCTGTCTGTGCGTCCGTCCGTCAACCATAGTGACACATTTTAAAACCTCTGTCGATAGGATTCCTTTTTTAAGTTGTTTCTGTTCAACATCAATACCGAAAACTCCCCTATGACTCCTGGTTCAAAAGCTTGCCCATTTTCAAAATGGCCACCATTTTTGTCTCGCAAAATTCACTTTTGAGCCATTTCCTAGCTTTACAAATAATCGCAGGTGTCCTGCATTGTAAAAATAGTGGCAAGTTTTAAAACCTACCTGTCAACACTTGGCTCTTTTTAAATCCTCTATAGATAGGATTCCTGTTTTAAAATATTTTTGTTCAACATCAATAAAGAAAAAACCCTTGTGACTCCTGCTTCAAAAGCTCGCCTATTTTCAAAATGGCCACCATTTTTGTCTCAGGAAATTCACTTTTGGCCCATTTCCTAGCTTTACAAATAATTTCAGGTGTCCTGCATTGTAAAAAGCCATGTCTTTGTAAAGAGTAGTTGTATGAAATAATTTTGTTACAAAAAATCGGCAAAGTTTATATCCGTTTTTTTTTTTCTGTTATTTTAGCCATCATTCACTTTTGAGCAACACCATGTGAGCCCAGTACTCACGTTATTATTTTTTTCCATATAGCTTGGAGATCTTGTTAAAGCCTCGTTTTTTATGAGATTTTAGAAGATCTGCATTTTTAACCATTAAAGACTAACATTTTGTTCTATTCGATGGCATATTTAAATTCTTTGATTTGCACCATTATTTACCTTTATTCAAATTCTAATGATTTTCTAGTTGATCTTCAAAAGGTCGGGCTAAATCCCCATTGACACAATGCTGAAAAACCTTTAAAAGTTCATTTACTCTTACAAGGATCACAATTTTAATGTGAGATTACAATCCATATGTCAATAAGATCATATAGTTACAATCCAATGGTGTTTTAAGTTGATCCAAATGGAATTACTTCTTAAATCAAGAAATTAAGTGAATCTGGCAATACATTTATATGTATTCTAGCACTACCCTAGCCCTACCAATACCCATGATGCCATCTATTTTTCCATTTATGTGGAAAAATGTCAATTGTCTACATCTTTCAGTTTTACACAAAGAGTGGACTTATGTGCCTAGAAAAGACTGTAAAGAATTTTTTTTGTAAAATGTTTAAAAACGAGAAAATTCAGTGACAGAAGGTCACTGAATTTTCTCACAGCCATACCAAATGTCCGAATATTGGACTAATACCATACCAAATATCTAAATATTATAGGACCAATGCCTTTACCAAATGTCTAAAGATAAGACCAATGCCTTACCAAATGTCAAAATATAGGAGCCATACCAAATGTCCAAATATATCATCAATGCCATACCAACTGTTCAATTTTAAGACCAATGCCATCCCATATGTTCACTATTGATTTTGATTAACACAATTCCAATAATTTTAAGATGTCATCTAGGCCAATTTACTTCAATCATTGTGAAACCACCCTTACATCAATGGTTATATATATTTTGCAAGTTGATCCAAGAGACCAAGTGGGCGAGTCAATTATTTTGCAGGGGTGGCATGATATACACATTTCAATTTTGTATATAGTGAATTTCCAGCAATAATGGACACCTCTTAAGTGAAGATCTGTGCCCAGTGAACACACGAGCCTACTCTATTGAACACCTGTGTGTAAGCGAACACCAATTCCCAGCCAGTGATTTCAGTAACCTTTAGAGGGGATTGTACCTACAGTAAAACCTGTCTAATCCAAGGGACCAACTAAAAGCGTTCAGATTAGGAGGTGTTCACATTTTGAGGTTGTGCATTTGCAAGATTTTGGATTTTAAATTCTCAATAAATATTTATAGTTCTTTTGACTACATAGCTTTATGGCATTACAGTGACATGGAAATCCGATTTAAATGAATTTAGTCATCCTAGAAAGCCTCACCATGAGTGAGATCATTCAAGGTTTTTTCAAATATTTGAGCAATTTTGTATGGAACATGTGATATTTTATGAAAATGTTCAGATAAGATTTTTTCAAACATGACTGTTCACTGTTCAAATTGGGAGGTGTTCACATTTCAAGGTTTTTTAACATCTGAGTCAATGGGAGGAAAAACGGGACCATGGAGGTGTTTGGATTAGCCAAGTGTTCAGATACACAGGTTTTACTACAATTGTTTCCAATCTTTTGGAGGTAAGTGTACATCATTCCAGAGAAATGACAGGTGACACACTGCCATGGGAACTGGTCATATCAGATGTTCCCACGCTTTACGTCCAGAAGATGTCATTTCCCAGGGTTATAGATGAACCCTTGGCCAATCAATGATATAATTTACATAAGTATGACTATGAATTCTGGGATATTCCTGTTTTGTTGAGACAGATGAGAAAAAAATTAACCCTTTGCAAAATTAATCAAAACTGCCTCCAATCATCCAATACTTGGCTCAATCTAAGAGTGACCAAGTGAAAAAATGGTCTATTGGTGTAACATTTAGGTAGTCAATGAAAACCAGATCTCTAAATGCCGGACTCGGATATGGATTAAAGTAAAGAAACACCAGTCATATCACAGATTTTTCTGAGAAACCATCCTCTTATTTCTATTCTGTAGACTCAAATATATTGTTATACAGGGGCATAGCTAGCAAATGACAAGGAGGTGCAGCCTCATATACATATTCCTATGCTTTCATTAATGCCGTCCCATAATGGAGAGGACCCAGTTTTTACAATAGGGACCCCAAACAATGAAAATGAGGGGTCACTTGGACGCAGTGCAGGTCATATAAAAAAATCAACTCTGGATGAATATATTGATAAAGATCTTACCTTCAGTCTTTTATTTGGTCAAAATCCGCTAAATAAATGAAGGATATTCTATTTCTAAAAGAAATAAAATTATCTTTCGGAGTTTCTTTCCCGGAAGTTGATTTCCGATCAGAATAGTATGAGGTATGTGATAGGACTAGTAGTTGATTTCCGAGCGGGTATCGGTACGAGTCCTATGATTGGCCGCGATTATTAATCATGCATGCGTCTGAATAATTTTAACTAATCAAATTGCTGGATTTGTTGCGCATGCGCAAAAAAACGGAACCAAAAAATGGAACCTCACGGAGATTGCTCCAAGTTTTCTAAAAATCTTTTCATCGCCATTTCAGGAAAACTGCTGATTGGATTTTATCAAAATTTGCACATATGATAAAGGGTATGAAGTTCTACAGCTGATTAACTTTTGGGCAGCCATCTTGTTTTCTGGTGGCTATTTTGAAGGTTTTTCGATGGTGTGATCTCGTTCACGTCATGTGCCTTGTTAAACATGTAGTAGTATTATATGAATATAAAAAGTATTTTCTCCGACTATGAAGACCAGTCAGTCACAGAAAACCTTTAGATTTTTACTTGGGTATCTCCATCAATTTCCAAAATGGCAGCCTCGCTGAATGGATTAAAGTGAATGTTTTCATCGATATTGACATGTACATGTCGATTAATCCACAAAAACACATTCAGTCAATCGATACATGCATGAGGAAAACATCGAGCTATTATATTATCTAGTCAAAGTGAGCTCACTTTTATAGAAGAAAATCATGAAATACCCTATTATTGCCAATACAGTGTATATTCATCTTTCAAAAATCCCTGGAGAATTTGGGAGCTGCACTGTGTGTTTATTAGAGAGAATACGGTACATAAAATAGTTATGGGGATCTATCTAAAAAAGCGTTAGCGAGTACGTACATCTGTCTCAGTCATAGGCACTACACACTGTATTAGAGTTAATCATCTTAGAATCACTGTAGGACAATGTAAACATATCAATGGCATGCAATACATTCTTACAGATCTGGAACTCTGGAGACAGGGAAGATGTATTAAACACATTAGCTGAACTTTTTCTGGTGCCAGGATGTAGCAGTGATGTCACCGAGGAATGCTCTCCCATCATGTTAGACATCTTCATACGAGCTAAGAAGAGAATAGAAAAGAAATGGAGCATGGAAAATCATCAATATTTGTTTGTTGCTTTGAGTAAAGCTCTTACTTTATGTCCAGATGCATTAAGGTAGCTTTAAAATTGAATTTTATTACCTCATAACATATAAATTATAAGTACATAGTACATTAACAACACATATATATATCTGATTTTGGAACTAACTATTAAAGCTTTCCAATAATATTGACATACTTTCCAATAGTGATCAATAGTGATTGGGCTGGGGTCAACCCAGTTGTCCGAAACCCAATTCTCCGAAACCCAGTTGTCCGAAACCCAATTCTCTGAAACCCAGTTGTCCGAAACCCAGTTCTCCGAAAATTACAGCTTACAGCTCTATGAATGAGCACACTCTCATTGTTAAAGGGTGTATTTGAGAGTAAATTTCATCAACTGAACGATTCCTTTATGGGCTGGTATTTAATAAAACTGTCAAAAGATGAAAGTACAAGGGCATATACAGGTGATATAGATGTTCAAACAAACAAAGTTAAATTATGTTATTCTCATTGCAAAGTGGCGTTAACATAACATACATAGGGGTGTACAATTTTTAAACCAATTTTCTTTATGGCCCATGGGCCTCTCGAGAAGGAACAACATTTTTCCAATGGGTGGTAGCACGGTGTATAACCCAAACGCTCCTACATGCGCGACGGAGCGTTTCATTACTGAAAGTAAACAAAGAAACGCTCCGGAGTAGGAAAACTGGCTGGCGGGAATGATGAGCCATCTGACGATTTCCCCAATAATGGGAATAAGAGGTATGAGTTCCATATTTCGAGTATACCATTCGATGGGTGTGATATTCATGTTGTACTTGGCTGGCTGTTGACGGTTGAAGCAATTAGGAAGAGCTGTACGAAGCAGTATAGTTATCAAAATTCAAAAACGTATTTGTCATTCTACCGGTCAAAACCCCTTTTGTCGATACATGTGATTAGTTGAGCCAAGATTAGAGCACCAACGTATATTTTAGTCAAAGTCCAATGCTTCAACGCACCATACATTATCGTAATAGTGATTTGATGACCGAAAATCCAGCCTTAAAAATGATGACATTCTCATATTCAAGAAACGCTCCGATCTGGTTAACACAGTGAACTGGAAACGCTCCGGTAGTCTAGATCAGTTTAGGAAATATATAGCTTGCCTTTCCCTTCCAGGAAGCGAAAGAAAAGATCTATTATACCCCTTGGCATCAAAAGAAGAAAGATTAATTCACATATAAATTTTAGTTTTTTCTATAGTTTTATGATTTAGCACACATGTAGGCATGAAATCATCTAATGTAGGCTTAAATCAGCTAGTTGCACGTTTAGCACCACCAGGTTCAGATGTTTCAATTTGCCTACCAAGTACAACACGTTTTTGAGAGATAGATTCGATTCGGAACTCTTCTCTAATAATCTGAAAATGATATCAAAACAAAATGGTAAGAGCGTTTCTAAAATTGTGTTCTAAATCGACGGAGCGTTTTGAGGAAAACAAGCGATTTCTCGAGTACAAGTAATGGATTTGGACTGGGATTTTAGGAAATGAGAATATACGAGTTTGTGATCTACTACTTTAACAGAAAGGTTAACGTTTTCATAGAAATACTGGTTTAATTCGTAATTTGTGGTCAAATCATCATCTTCAGATTCGTTCGATCTACACTACGGAGCTTTGATCAAGCAAATAACAGTTTACCACCAGAAGTTGAATAAATAAGATCTTTCCTCACGGTATTGTTCATCGAATGGTACATAATATTTCACCATAACATATGATATGTAAGAGAAACGAGAGAAACAATACTTACGGTCATAGTGGAATCTTCATTAGCCGCCATTTTATTTCGCTCCGGAGCGTTTCCGCGTAAATGAAACGCTCCGTCGTGCATGTAGGAGCGTTTGGGTTATACACCGTGGGTAGGCGTTCATAAAAGGGAAAATAGCTTTCCCAAGCCAGTGGGCATTTATTTAGTAAAGCTGATGTGTACATCCTTTGAAACCAAAACTTATTCTTCATTTACGTACTCTGTTCGAGAAATAGAGATTAAATTCAAAAAGGATGAAGTGAGTACATGGCGAAAATGAAACTTCTGGGAGAACTTCCATTTTGATACGAGGACAGCCTGTCTTCGTTTCCAGTTGATCCCAAGTGATTAAGTTTCGAATGTTTTGTTCTTTTACGATTTGATAAGAGACAGAGACTAAGAAATTAAATGCGACGAAATATTTTTTTGACACTGTATTTATGTACACTGTTTTATTCTTTAAGTTCTATGCGTTAACTTATTTTATCTGTTTCAAAATGTTTCATTTTATTTTGCCTATATAAAAGAGATTGAAGAAGATAGATAAACTGTTCCATAATATATATTGTGTTTTGATAACCTTTTTTAGAATCTCAATGTAAAATAAATCCCACGTTCCTGCCATTCTGGTAACGCCATGCCATGGATGCAAAGTTAGAGAGAGAGAGAGAGATCTATGAACATCAGAATTCTGCCATTTTAAGCTTAAGTACGTCCCCCCTTTCTCTGTTAAATTATGACTATATTTTTCGGAGTAATGGGTTTCGGACAACTGGATTTCGGACAACTGGGTTTCGGACAACTGGGTTTCGGACAACCGGGGTGTAACCCAATTGGGCTTTCTGTTCAAAATTCAAATTCAAAATTTTAAAGTCAAAGTATTTTTATTATGTCACCTTCATAATGGGGTGACATATTGTTATTAGTTTCCAACTTTTTGTGGATGGTGTTCAGCGGTTGGTGTCAGACACTGTTGGTGTTTTGCATTAAGTGGTTGGTGTTCTGTATTTGGCAGTTGGCATTTGCGACAAAAAGCAGGTTGTGACAATTTGCATGTTTATGCCTCATCATTCTTTTAGTCTTAATGCCACATACTTCAATATTTAGCTTTCAGATTTGAGATATAGATACTTCAGAGATTGCACCCCTTAGTTTTGATATTCCTGTCTTTTTGCTGCTCCATAGTATTGTGTTTTCTACCTAGTTTCAATCATTGTTGATTTAAATTTACAGGTTTACAATTGAGTATTGTCGCAGTAAGCCTGCTCCATTTGAAGAAACAACTACAGCAAAGGAACCATTATCAAAGAAACCGAGAAAGGTGAACTGATTGCTAATACTTCAGAAAGTGAATAAAACAGGAAAAAGTACATCTACTACTTGCAGAACAATCAAGTTCCTCAGTTGAATAAAAGAAATTCATATATTTGTTCATATGATTTTATTTTATGTTTCCTAGAACTTTATATTTTATTAACTCCAATAAATCTCATTTATTTCCAGTCTAAAGGAACTGAGAAACTGGCACCAAAGGAATTGGTAGAAGCTACATATTGGCTGACATATTTTGCCAGAGAGGATGTCAAAAGAATGTGGAACTGGAAACCATTTCTCAATTTTCTAAAATCAGAAGATGTCAAAATAAAATGGTAATTTTTTTTACTAAAAATAAAAATGAAAATACTAATCTGTGAAATTTGGAAAATGATTGAAGTTTTGTGATAGATGAAGTTTTTTTTATCGTACCTAAAAAGTAAAGATATTGTCGTCAGCTTGATGAGCGGGTGGTGGGCAGGGGGTGGTAGGCAGCGGGCAGTGTCTCACTTTCTTGTCACCACGATTCCAGGAAAACCACTAGACGGATTTACTTCAAATTTTTACACATGTTACATGGTAAGAAGTTCTAGAGCTGATTAAATTTTCGATGGCCATCTTGCATTCTGGTGGCCATCTTTGAAGTTTTTAGATAAATCTTGTCATCGCGATTCCAGGAAAACCACTTGATGGATTTACTTTAAATTTTCACACATGTTACATGATAAGAAGTTCTAGAGCTGATTAACTTTTCGGCTGCCATCTTTGCATTCTGGCAGCCATTTTGGAAGTTCTTAGATAAATCTTGTCATTGCGATTCCAGGAAAACCACTTAACAGATTTACTTGAAATTTTTTACACATGTTTCATGGTAAGAAGTTCTGGAACTGATTAGCTTTTTGGTGACCCATCATGCTTTCTGGGTCACTAAGCCCACACTCCTATGTTTTAGGAACGATATTTTTTACCCTGTGCCTCATTGGGAGTGAAATGACCCTTGATAGCAAGTCATTACTTCAGTCTCAGCTGTAGTAGCTAGCCGTTATGGGTCAGTGTTAGACTGTGTCGGTCTGTCGACTGGAATATTCTGGATTTGATTCCTGCAAGGGGGCATTGAATTCAGCACACTTCCTTTCATGTCCAGTATCCGCCTCGTTACACTACAGCTCCCTTGACGAGTGTGCCCTCAGGTTGTTACAGGAGTATGGTAAAAAAATACATTGAACATCCTGTTGAAGCTTTCACTTCCAAAATTTGCAGGTAGCAATATTGCATTCCAAAAGAACTGTTTTGTGTTCAAATGTAATTTTGATATATGGGAATTTTGAAATAACTTTTACAGGGTTGGGAATCAAAATGATGGCATAGCCGGGGACTACAACTCGCATAATTCAAAAGGATGTTTACAACGCATTATTACTGATATCACCCCAATCACATGACATTCATTCACAGTCATACCACACACACATTTACTGAATGAGCGTGGTGTAAAAGTGGTTTTGAAAAGTAGCAAATTTCTCTTCATATAGGTTATTTGTGGTTTATTATTATACATTGATTCTGAAATCATTGGTGTCTAGTTTTTAGCGTTTTGGAAATATTCAGATTTATACCCTCCTGGTGTAATTTTAAGGGGGGTACTTGGAAAGCCATATATCATTCCTAGAATATAGAGCCAATCATCTTGATTTTTCCAGGTAATCATGTACTTATCATGTCCTACCATTATGACACGTTTCATTAAAGTTGATCAACTGGTTGCTATGGAAATGGAGATCATGTGTTAAAAAGTACACATTTTCGTCAAAATGTAAGATACCCCATGAGACAAAACACATATTATTTTCATGAAATTGGAAGGAATCACCATGAAACCATTTTAGAAAACTTATTCAAAGTATATTTGATAATATTAAATCAACTGCTGTTTTATCTTATCCACACAGTGGAATCTATTGCTGATGATTATATGCCAATGCAAGTAAATTTAGAAAGGGGATGTGGCACTTTTCCAAAGAATTCTTTATTTGTGTTCAACGTTTTGAAGAAAATAAGTAACCATTTGTCCTGAAATTAACAGATATTATTCACATCATTATGTTTGACTATCATGGAAAATTTCATCAGTGTTGGATAACTGGTTACTATGGTAAACAGATTTATACCCCATTGGTATGATTTTAAGGGGGGTACAATGAAAGCCATCTATAATTCCTAGAATATACAGCCATTCATCTTGATATTTACAGGTAGTCATCTACTTATAATGCACTACCACTATGACAAGTTTCATTAATGTTTAACACTTGGTAGCTATGATAACAGAAATAATTTATTAAAAAATACACATTAAGGAGATACTATGTATAATTCCTGGAATATTAAATTAATCATCTTGATATTTATGGGTAATCATCTGCTTATCATGTCTTACCAGTATGACAAGTGCCATCAATGTTGGCCAATTGGTTGCTATGGTAACAGAAATAATTTCTTAAACATTGCACATCAAGGGGTACTATGTATAATTCCCCGAATATTTAATCAATCATCTTGATATTTACAGGTAATCATCTGCTTATCATGTCCTACCAGTATGACAAGTGCCATCAATGTTGGTCAATTGGTTGCTCTGGTAACAGAAATAATTTGTTAAAAAGTGCACATTAAGGGGGTACTATGAAAGCCATGTATAATTCCTAGAATATTCAATCAATCATCTTGATATTTACGGGTAATCATCCGTTTACATGTCCTACCAGTATAACAAGTGCCTCAGTGTTGGTAATTTGGTTGCTATGGTAACAGAAATCATTTGTTAAAAAAGTACACATATTCATAAAAATCGAAGACTCATGTAACCTTTGACATTAAGCACATAATATGTTCATCATTTTGGGAGAAATAAGCATGGAAACATTTCATAAAACTTATCACATCTCATCAATCACAACAGTGGACGCTTTATTGACATCACTGGTCACCAACGTGTTACACGGTAAACACGATACAAAAATATGTCATATTCCGCAACGAATATGGCATATTCACTTGTGGTGTATGACAGATTCACCTGCGGTATATGGCATACACACTAACCAATGAGAACGTGATACGGAAGTGCGCAATTGTCAATTGCATCGATTGAACGAACAAGTAAAACGTTATAAATTATTATAGTGATTACTGAATTAACAGTACTGTGTATCGAATATATATCAGTCACCAATCTCGCGTAATAAACTTACTCAATCAATCCAGGATTCATATATTAGTACTCGACGCACTAACTATATTGGTAATCCAGCGTAGTTTTACATTTAGAGTCGATTCTCGCAACCAATCAAATCAAGGCTTTCTGTATCACGTTTTCACCTGCAGTATATGTCATATTCACCTGTGGTGTATGGCATATTCCGCAAGTGAGTATGACATATTCCGCAAGTGAGTATCGGGTATTCACTGAAATCAATGTAAATCATGCTGTTGTTCTCAACTTTTTTTATGTCTGATGGTTTTTTCAAATGTTCATTGTTTTTAGAATTCATTAAGAAGCATTTCCAGTATTTTTAATTGGGTGTAATAGTTGTTTATATCTCTTAGTTTGTTTATTACAAGTGACGTGGTAACTTGTTGATGGCAAAATAGAGCCAAATTGGCCAGACCAACCCATTCCACCTGATGATCTCATAGACATATAGTCACACAAAGATTGCAACGGATGCTTTGACAGAAGTAGACGTTGAAAGATCTATGAATGAGGATTTTGATGCAAATGATATAAAAGATGACTAAGTGAGATCAGCTCATAATTTACTATGTCCCTACGCATAATGTGACAGCCGCATTCTGCATAGTTTTATTATCATAAGCAAATACAATATATCAAATGGCCCAGATGAAATATCCATTGATTAAATATTATCAGACATACTCAAAATAGGTTTTTAAAAATGTTTTCATGCTAATTCCTCCCAATTTGATGAAGATTTTCAATGTCTTAAAATTTTACGAAATGTGTACTTTTTTAACAAATAGATTTCTACCCACATTTGACCCACATTGATGAAACTTGTCATCATGGTAGGACATGATAAGTAGTAGATTGTCTGTAAATATCATAATGATTGTTTTGATATTTAAGGAATTATAAATGGCTTTCATAGTACGCCCTAATGTGTACTTTTTAACAAATGATTTCTGTTACCATAGCAACCATTTGCCCCGCATTTATGAACTTTGTCATAGTGGAAGAACATGGTGAGTAGATAACTACCTGCCAATAACAAGATGATTGATGATTCTAGGAATTATATATGGCTTTCATAGTACCTCCCTTAATGTGTACTTTTGAAAAAATGATTTATGTTTCCATAGCAACCAATTAATACACATTGATGAAAATTGTCATGGTTGTAAGACATGATATGTAGACGATTACCTGTAAATATCAAGATGATTGGCTGTATATTCTAGGAATTATAGATGGCTTTCATTGTACCCCCATTAAAAATCATACCAAGGGGTATAAATCTGCATAGTATAGTAACCAGGAAACCAACACTAATGAAACTTTCCATGATAGTCAAACATAATGATGTGAATAATATCTGTAAATAACAGGACAATTGGTTATTTATTTTCTTCAAAAATTTGGACACAAGTTAAGAATTCTTTGGAAAAGTGCCACGTCCCCTTTCTAAATTAATTTGCATTGCCATATAATCATGAGCAATAGATTTCACTGTGTGGATAGGATAAAACAGCACTTGATTTAATATTATCAAACATACTCTGAATAAGTTTTCTAAAATGTTTTTATGGTGTTTCTTTCCAATTTCATTAAAATAATATGTGTTTTGTCTCATGGGATGTCTTACATTTTGACGAAATTGTGTACTTTTTGACATATGATCTCCGTTTCCATAGCAACCAGTTGACTAACTTTGATGAAACTTATTACTTTTGTAGGACATGATAAGTACATGATTACCTGTAAATATCAAAATGATTGCTTGTAAATTCTAGGAATTTTACATGGCCTTCCTAGTACCCCCCTCAAAATCAAACAAGGGGGGTATAAATCTGAATATTTCCAAAACGCTGAAAAACTAGACACCAGTATTTTCAGAATCAATGTAGAATCATAAACCACAAATTACCTACATAAAGAGAAATTTGCTATTTTTCAAAACCACTTTTACACCACGCTCATCCAGTAATTCAGTCATCGACTATATTTTCCAAAGCCTTCAGTTAATTATGGTAAATCCAAACTTAATTTAGTGGGCATGTTGAGATTAGGGGTAAATCATTGCTTTGGACAAATTAAATAAGAGCAGGTATGTCTCGTGTGGTGATCAGCATACATACGTGTATACTCCACCTGAAATACCATTCTTGTTGCTCGGCTGACCAAAAGTGGTGGGATAAAAGCATTGGTTGTATTCTTTGCGCCTATGTGTTTGTGTGGCAAGTCACTGCTAGGGACAGCGGGGCTGACCATGAGAGCATGGTCCTTTCAAAGGGGGAATAGTGTAACAACCTTGGATAGCAAAGTTACTGCTACAGCCCGGCTGTAGTGGTTTAAGCCTTTATAGCTCCTTTATAGACCATCAGTCTTTGGTCATCAGTCAAGGGTCCTAGGTTCAATTCCCACATGGAGTATTGAATTTGAATTTAGCACACTTTCTTTCAATTTCTTTATCTGGCTTGTTACTCTATGCTCTTTAATTAGTCATTCCCTGAGGCGCGGCAGGGTCATTAAAGGGTGACGCATATCGTTTAGCAAATTGAACGCTCGTTTCTGGTGTTGCTCACCGTTTAGTATAAAAGGCCCGATCCCGGAATAATACTCAAGGGTTCACAGGTTCGAGTATCCTACAAATGAAACAAAGCAAGACAAACCGGTTTCTAATACAAGGATTTATATTGGCTGTTGTACATGTATTCTTTGAACGCAATCACTCTTTGGATAACGTTTTCAAAATCATTATAAACGGATTACTTTATCTCAAAGACAATTTCAATAAACTGGATTTTACAGAACTCCCCTCATTTCTTGAAAATGGACTGATCCAGTTGATTCGCCTGGAGCCGCCATATTGTTTTTATACGGGATGCTAATCGGAACCCTTTAAAACCTGTATACATTCATACTACTCATATAGGTTTGCCACTCTGACTATTGGAACATTGGTTGATATGACAGACTCACAGATGGAAACCTTCCAGAAGCAATACATTGACAAAGATACATTTATTAAACTTAGAATAAGGTAGGTGCGAGTAAGGGTTCTTTATAATATTAAACCTCTAGTGCATGAGCAGTACCATTTCTAAAGTATTTATTCAGATTTGTCATTCAAATCACAATACATAAAACAAGTGATTTTTTGTTGTTATTGCAATGTTACCAAATTTTAAGATATATATCCATTTGATATCACCCCAATCACATGACATTCATTCACAGTCATACCACACACACATTCAGTCATCGACTATATTTTCCAAAGACCTTCAGTTAATTATGCTTGAAATCTCGTACAGGTTAGCGGCATTTGGAAAAGTATGCTCTATGAACATGGAATTTCAATATCAAAAGAGAAATATTATATTTTCTGAAAAGTTTTCTTTCAAAATAATTGACAATAAGGTGTTTCTCATCTACCTGTATATCCTTTCTCCTCCAGAAATGTTGATTAGTGTGTAAATGAATCTTTTTGGAGTAAAGTTTTTAATGTTAAATACAATGTTTAATAAAAGCTGTTTTATGTTTTCAGTATACTTGGTCTCACACTTCGCTTTTGAATCATTTTTTAAAAATACTTTTCCATTTCTTTGGAATGGAAGATATTAAGCTTTAGTAATCTAGAAAGTTACTTTTGTTTAAAGTCAATTATTTCCATAAAGCATATTTAAACATATTGGTAACAAATTTCAGAAAACATGTTTAGCAAGTGTTCACACTTCAGAGTTTGAGAGGTGTTTGGATTATAGAGGTGTTCATATTAAGAGGATTTAATGTAATTGTAACTTTAGGCACAATGTAGAACTGCAAAAGATTGCAGCTGGTCATGTTCAGATATATGGTGACAAGAGTGAAGAGAGACTGGATGAGAATGTGTCACATACTATGGGCCACCTTGTAGAGCGTGACCTCACTGAAGATGTAGTTGCCGTGTGTGGAATACTTATAAATAACATACAGAGTGACTCCAAACAGGTTGGATATTTTGTTTTCATTTCCTTTATGTATGCTGCAAATTGATCAATCTGATGTAGATATGTAGATTTAAGAATGGTGTACATGAGTGTTGGTAAATGTACCCCAAATGACTGCATAATACACTGCTATGCATCCTCTAAATGTCTCATTGGTGAATGTACCCCAAATGACTGTATAACACACTGCTGTGCATGCTCTAAATGTCTCATTGATGAATGTACCCCAAATGACTGTATAACACACTGCTGTGCATGCTCTAAATGTCTCATTGATGAATGTACCCCAAATGACTGTATAACACACTGCTATGCATGGTCTAAATATCTCATTGGTGAATATATACCCCAAATGACTGTATAACACACTGCTGTGCATGCTCTAAATGTCTCATTGATGAGTGTACCCCAAATGACTGTATAACACACTGCTATGCATGCTCTAAATATCTCATTGGTAAATATATACCCCAAATGACTGCATAACACACTGCTGTGCATGCTCTAAACGTCTCATTGATGAATGTACCCCAAATGACTGCATAACACACTGCTGTGCATGCTCTAAATGTCTCATTGATGAATGTACCCCAAATGACTGCATAACACACTGCTGTGCATGCTCTAAACGTCTCATTGATGAATGTACCCCAAATGACTGTATAACACACTGCTGTGCATGCTCTAAACGTCTCATTGATGAATGTACCCCAAATGACTGTATAACACACTGCTATGCATGCTCTAAATATCTCATTGGTAAATATATACTCCAAATGACTGCATAACACACTGCTGTGCATGCTCTAAACGTCTCACTGATGAATGTACCCCAAATGACTGCATAACACACTGCTGTGCATGCTCTAAATGTCTCATTGATGAATGTACCCCAAATGACTGTATAACACACTGCTATGCATGCTCTAAATATCTCATTGGTAAATATATACCCCAAATGACTGCATAACACACTGCTGTGCATGCTCTAAACGTCTCATTGATGAATGTACCCCAAATGACTGCATAACACACTGCTGTGCATGCTCTAAATGTCTCATTGATGAATGTACCCCAAATGACTGCATAATACACTGCTATGCATGCTCTAAATATCTCATTGGTGAATATATACCCGAAATGACTGTATAACACACTGCTATGCATGCTCTAAATATCTCATTGGTGAATATATACCCCAAATGACTGTATAACACACTGCTATGCATGCTCTAAATATCTCATTGGTGAATATACCCCAAATGACTCTATAACAAACTGCTGTGCATGCTCTAAATGTCTCATTGGTGAATGTACCCCAAATGACTGCATAACACACTGCTGTGCATGCTCTAAATGTCTCATTGGTGAATGTACCCTAAATGACGGCATAACCCACTGCTGTGCATGCTCTAAATGTTTCATTGATAACAAAAACGAACCATATGAAATTAAAGTGGATTAGAAAAGTGGAAATGATGATCACTGTGGAATTTACTGAATCAAATAGTGTCACTCCATACTTTCTCCATTTTACCCATTTGAGCCTTTATGCATTTCAATTGGAAGTTTATACTTTGTTTATATTATGTTATAATTCTGCCTTAATATATGAATATTAAAATGATGTGTAAATGTATTTTCAGGAAGTTGACAACAGTAAATTTCTAATACCTGTAGATTCAACACAAAGGAATTTGCGCAGCTTGTCTCTTGCTGTTGCCGTGGGGTCGCCTGTTCTACTCCAGGGACCTGTTGGCTCAGGGAAGACTGCACTAGTTGAGCACTTGGCTGCCCTGACAGGAAGAATGAAGACACCTCATCTCATAAAAGTGCAGCTTGGAGATCAAACTGATAGCAAAGTAATTACCTGTGATCCAGAGGCTCCTTGAAATATTTTGGAATAATTTAAGTGTATTTTGATGTTTAGTTAAGCATGTATCATTGGACGCCTAATGTGTACATGTATTATTTACTATACTCAGTGAAGTGTTTAGAATCTTAAGAGTTTAAGTGATATTTGTAATTGATAAGAGCCTCTCCAATAACATACCCTCCTCTTGTCTGAACATTGTCATGCCATATTTTCCTTGCAGGCATTACTTGGAACATACCGCTGTACAGACATCCCAGGGGAGTTTCTATGGCAACCAGGTACATTAACTCAAGCTGTGATGGAGGGACGTTGGATCCTGCTAGAGGACATTGACTATGCCCCTATGGATGTTATTTCCACTCTAGTGCCACTGCTGCAGTCTAACACTCTGTCTATACCTGGCCATGGGGACTCTGTAAAAGCTGCCCCTGGCTTCCAACTGTTTGCCACTCAGAGGTAGAATACATTTATGATGGTATTGATGGTTATATTCCGTAATAAAGCTTATTCAATTCTGGACTTATGTGCCAAATATTAGCATGCCTGGTTTTCAGGAACATAATATATGAACTTATGTTTGGTAGTCACTAGTGCACTCTTAGGGGCATTACTTTGAAATATTTAATACTTTTGTCTTTCAAATATCATTAAGATATATCCTCAGCATCGATCAAATATTATAAGTTCATTTATTTATAAGTTCATTTATTTATACTATAGCTAACAGTCTATTGAGGCATGGTTATCACAGCTAAAGCTTATTCAATTCAGGGCAGGGCATATGACTAATTTTGGAAAAAATGTGGCTTTCCGATTCTATGCTAAAGGTAAAATGGGTACCTTTTGTAGAGATATGTAGCAAAATGTAAAAACTATTGAGCTTAATCAAAGTTGTTCTTATAAGTCCAGAATTTACCAAGCTTTCATATGATATATAAAATAGGGGGTATGCTACTTAGGACTGGTGATTGACTTGGGGACGTCCTTATGAAACACCCTGTAGATTCTATATTCTTTTCTCTCTAGGCTACTGACTGGGATAAGTGGCTTGTATACACTGCAGAACAGTAACTCTACCATGCTAGAGAGGATGTGGTCACTAATCAATGTGGAACCAATGTCTAGGGGTGAACTTAAAGAGGTAAACACACAGAAACTATGATTATCCACCAAACGAAGTTCGAGGGAGATATAGGAAATTTTAAAATGGCGGCCATTTTTCATAAAAAACGTAATTTATGATAACTCAAATACCAGTGAATGGATTTGGTTCTGAATTTATATGATGATGCCTTGGGACACAGTAGCTCTGTTAGAGAAAGAATTTTCAAGATGGAGGCTGAATTTCAAAATGGCGGCCATTTTTCATAAAAAATGTAATCTATGATAACTCAAATACCAGTGAATGGATTTGGTGCAGATTTTATATGATGATGCCTAGGTACACAGTAGCTCTGTTAGAGAAAAAATATCTCAATATGGAGGCTGAATTTCAAAATGGCTGCCATTTTTCGTAAAAAACGTAATCGTTGATAACACAAATACCAATGAACGGATTTGGCTCAAAATATGATGATGTTTAAACAGTAGCTTATGTTAGAGAAAGAATTTTCAAGATGGCGGCTGAATTTCAAAATGGCTGCCATTTTTCAGAAAAAACATAATCTTTGATAACTCAAGGGTAACTGGACAACTCATCCCCTGGACAACTCATCCCCTAGACAAGTCATCCCCTGGACAACTTATCCCCTAGACAATTCATCCCCTAGACAATTCATCCTTTATCACATGAATCCAAATTGTTCCGTTTTAACGTATTTTGCTATAACTCGAAAAGTAGTGTAGTGATTTTGTTCATATTTGGTATGTGACTACTGGCACACTGTCTAATGACACTTTTGGTAAAAGGCGGCCATTTTGAAAAATGGCCACCATTTTAACGTATTTTACTATAACTGGAAAAGTAGTGTAGCGATTTTGTTCATATTTAGTATGTGAATACCATAAGCATGACACTGTCTAATGACACTTTTGGTAGAAGGCTGCCATTTTGAAAAATGGCCACAATTTTAACGTATTTTACTATAACTGGAAAAGTAGTGGATCGATTTTGTTCATATTTGGTATGTGAATACTATAAGCATGGCACACTATCTAATGACACTTTTGGTAGAAAGTGGCCATTTTGAAAAATGGCTGCTATTTTTGCTATATACTTTGTTTGTAATAATACCAGCCATGGCTGTTCGATGGGATTTGCTACGCTTCGGCGTTGCTGTTGTCTATTTTTTTTAAGAACTGCTATGTATAATGTAAAATTACTCAACTAATGAACAAAAATAATATTTATAGGTAGCTCTAAATCTGGTGTTCACTCAACGCTAGACCATCTCTTTGATTTTTGCCGAAACTATCATCTTGTTGTCAACACTGTTAAACCAAAAACTATTATTTTTAACTCTAAACCAGATGAAACTTTCAAATTCAATGATGAAGTGATTCCATGTGTTAAAGACTACAAATATCTAGGGTGTATTTTCAACAGGAAAAGTAATTTGATAAACAAATATGCTATCTTAAAGAACAATCTAGAAAAGCTTTATTCAAAATAAAGCAACAGTATCACAAGTTTAATGACATTCCCTTATCAGTTGCCTTCGATTCACTTGTCCAAGCAGTTTTAATGTATGGTTTAGAAATATGGTCAAGTAAAAAACATATCAAGTCACTTGAAACTATTGTTTCCTGTCCTTTTTAAAAAACATTCTCTGTTTGAAAACATCAACTGCAACACTAGCAGTCTATGAGAACTGGGTCGTTTTCCCCTTGGTTTGTGCTTTGATATTCATCTCATTAAATATTGGATACGACTTATACAAATTTGTCCAGATAACCTCCTTTATTCCATAGTTTTTAATCAGTGGTAAAATATGATATTTTTGACAAATTTTCACTTAACCATAGCATACGGTGTTTTAGCCATGACATACGGCGCCGTATGCTATGAATTATGGATTTTTGCTACTTCAGATTCAAAACGAGGCTTAGTGTCAATATCGTCGGATCGTTGGAAAATTCGATTTAAATCACTTAATTTCTGACGATTCTGATGATGACTTCAACTATGGAATATAAAGAACATCCTATGATTTACTCGTGATATGATTTTAACCCACTCATGGATATTGATATCTGCACTTTCTCGCTATGCTCGCTCGTGCAGATATCATATCCATTCGTGGATAAAAATCATATCACTCATAAATCATAGGATATCCTCTATTTATAAAGCATATCTAACTATGAAATGTACAGTTTAGGATTAAAAAATACTTAGTCAAGTAAAGTTCATAACATTTTAAAAGATTGTAATCTCCAAAGCACTTGGAATGAACAAGTGTTTGAGGTGAGGATGACCATTTGTTCATAAAGAACCTAACTAAAACATTGCACCAAAATTATAAGGAGAAATGGAAGTTTTACAATTATACCAGTTTTAAGAACATACATGTATGTTTGATTTAAACAACTTTAGAAAGGGAACAATATTTAAGCTTCCAAAACAAAAATCACAGGCAATCAATTTCACAACTGAGATTAAGTTCACATAAGTTACAAATAGAACTGGGTAGACATGTGAAATCACGGCCAAAGCCTGAATATGAACTATTATGTAACTTTTGTGGGGAAATAGAAAATGAAGTTCATTTCATGATTAAATGCAAAATACTTAAGTACATAGAGAAAATAGAAAAATATTGTTTGACAACATCACTAGCAAAATTAATATCGATCAGCATCATCCTGGAAATGCATTCATTATGTTAATTTCTTAAAAAGATAAACATGTTCAAAAGCAAGTTGGAAGTTTTATAACAAAATCATTCAAAAACTTCAACTTGCCTCGAGATTAGCATTTTGGATGCATTATACGTAAAGTATATTGTAACATATGTAAATAACAAGTTTTTGAATAAATTGTATATGTTATGATAGCTAAGACTTAGTGTAGTGTAGTGTTGTACAATATATTCATTTTGTAATAATTAATATGTCAGTTCTGTAAAGAGTCAGTGAAAGATATATATAATGTATACTACCCGACCCGGATCGTGCAGTTTGACCTGTCCCACCCCTAATACTGAGGCATCTGATTTTGAACTAGATATTTATAGGATATCCTATGATTTTGAGGAATATCATTTTTATCTACGAGGTGATATTGATATCTGCACGAGAGAGTGAAGCGAACGAGTGCATATATCAATATCACCGAGTAGATTAAAATGATATTTTGAAAACAATCATAGGATGTTCTTATTATCCTACACTTACAAGGAGTGTACTAAATGTATAATATCATTGCAAAATGAATTCCATGCCAAATAGAGTCAATTTGGCGGGAAATCAACAAGCGGAGTATATCGTCACAATATCCTCCGCATATTGGGTTTTCCGGAGTATATCGTCACGATATCCTCCGGCCGGAGTATATCGTTACGATATCCTCCGGATATTCATTTTGCCAATAAATATCAAATTTATTTTTTAATGTTATTATTATACATTTAGCGCACTAAGTGTAGGATAAACTTTAATATTTGAGTATATCAATATAGTGAATTGTTGCCCCTGTGAGTTGCCATTTTCATGTGTTGATGAAACATACATATTCTTCCCATGCTTACCAGAACTAGAATGCTGATTTAATCCTTTAAGGTGATTACATCAAGATATCCCCAGCTGAATAGTGTGTCTGAAAGACTTCTGGATATCTATTTCCTGCTCTCAGCAGGGCAGCATGAGTCATCAATGGTTGCCATGGATACAGAATTAGATGAGACTGTTGGGCAGTTTCTTAGTCATGATGGGCGTCTTATATCCACCAGGTATGTGCAGCAAAATGTAATGGGTTAGTGCTTGAAAAATGGTAGCTAATAGGGTACTGGAGACCATATTCCTGGTGCAGAAAATGTCACAGATTGTTTTATGTAAAGAAAAAGACTTTTATTATTATTATTGTGTATAATTTAAGGGATCTTATGAAGTGGTGTCATAGAATCGCAGAAGATTTCAATATTACCTCAAGTGCTACTGGTAACCTGGTGTTCCAAGAGGCATTGGATTGTTTCTGCGCATGTTTGCCCAAACTTGAGCAGAGGCTCCCTCTGGCAGAAGCAATTGGAGCTAAACTGAACATTACTAAAGTAAAGGTATGTGCAGAGAAAGGTCTTCATGGAAATCTATCATAATCTTAACTGCTTTGACATTTGTTCTCTGTACAAAAATACAACTGTTGTCACTTTTGTCAGAATATTATGGGCATCAAAGTAAATGAAAATAAATGCATGCAGGTAATACTAATTCATTTTATTCAGATAGAAATCATTCATAAGTGAAATAAACCTCATTATTAAATTTAAGAATGTGGTCTGGAAAAATTGGTCAGGAAAATTAAAAAAATAATTAAAAAATGTTTTTTTATTGGTTGTGGTAAGTAATATGATATGGCTTCACAATTTAGGCTAAAGGGGTTTTAGGCTCATGGAAAAAGAACATTTATTTCAAAGATGGGGATTGTATGAAGCATATGTTGTAGGCTGAGTACTATTGTTGCAAGTATAAACCCAATGTTGAGCTAACTGCTACAACTTTGACACTGGGAAGAGCTTCTTTACAAAGAGTGCAAGAGGAAACCATGAAAATGAAAAAGTAGGTAGTATTTATTTTTTCAATACATTTCTGTTAATTCTGCATGTTAATTCTCATTAAACAGTCTGAGAATAGTTTATGTCATCACCAAGAAGTTAAGGGAAGATGTTTTGATTACAATTATTCTATATAGGGCCTATATAGGCTAGCAATTTATACATGACTTACTATTCATACAATTAAATTGAATGCATTTTCACCTGTCTATTAGGTAGGTTGTGTTAAATCCTTATAATTAAGTTACTCATGTATTGTCTCATGAACAAGTTAATGTAGTGATGCTACACATGGTGATTTAAGTGGCCTGCCATTATTTATAACATTATTCTATCGACAAATAGATTTCACTTGACAGGTACGAATAAAGAATCATTGCTCTTACACAACAATGGTGCACTCAAATATATTTACTAAGTCCACCAAAATATTCCAATTTAAAACCAAGAGAAACTAGAAAGTAGTGGTATCGATATGGAGAACTGAATTCAACAATGTTTTTATTCTCTTAAACCAATCATTGAAAACATTCTGTAAAAAAACAGTATTTTATGTAATGTTGAATGATTGACAACAATTTAATGCGAAAATTATTTAGAAATATTTTATATAACTGTTTTTGTTAACATTTTTTGTTTTTTTAGTGCAATTGTTTTTGCTCCTTTCGACCAATTCTTGAGAATGAAATAAAATGTCTTTCCGAAACCTTTTATTTCATTAACAAGATACTTTTTTAAAATCAACCAGAATTTCCTTAATCCTTGATAACTCAAGTACCAGTTAACAGATTAAAGTTAAATTGTATATGCTGATGCTTTGGGACATATGAGCTCTGCTAAAGAAGAAATCTAAAGATGACAGCTGAATTTCAAAATGGCAACCATGTTTCATAAAAACATAATCTTTGATAACTCAAATACCAGTGGATGGATTTGGCTCAAATTTTATATGGCCACTATTTAAACATGTACCCTTTGCATTCGTTTGACTTCACTTTTTAAAAGAGAGCTTCGTCTTCACTCTTTCAAACTAAAATAAACCTGTGAACTCACTGCGCCAATCAGTGTTCGTCGGCCAAATTTGACCGATGTTCTATATATGGTCATTCCTTCAATGGCATGCGCATATTTAATTAGAACGCATTTGGCGTGTGTTTCTTCAAGCTCGCTGATTGGTGGAAGAAATGTCAGCACTTATGTCAGAAGTAATTTATCACCCAAACTGTCACCGGTACCCGCCGTGGGGGCGGGGCTACTAAACTGTAATATGGTCTCTACTAGGCAGAGTGTAGTTTAACTAGACTCTGCGCGCAGGGTATTAAACATGTTTTGTTCGGTGGGTTTTGCTACTCCGTAGAGTTGCTGTTTTTCTTGTTCTTAGTATGAAAATCTAGGAACTGAATAGTTTTTCCGCATTCTGGGTTACAATTTTAAGGTGGCCATTTTGGATTTTCCATCCTGAAATCCTCTCTGTAAAGTCTTGTCTACACGTTACCTGGGATGTTACCAGTAGACAGATCGATTTCAAATTTCCAGGAATGATTCTTTGTATGAAAATCTCAAACTACTTAGTCTTTGGGCAGTTTTGCTAAGTTTTAAGGCGGCCACATTGGATTTTTCTCTTAAAATCATGTCTTTTCAACTGATTAGTGTAAGGCATTCAGGATGAAAAATTTGCAGTATATAGGATCACCCATTGGTGGGGACATGTTGTCCACATTTGTGTTCTTGTTTTACGTTGCTGTACAATTTGCCTAAATGTGGGATTTAAGTACAATAAAGCTCATGATAATAATACCTGTCTAATCCAAACGCCAAGGGACCAGCTTAAAGCGTTTGGATTAGGAGGTATTCACATTTTGAGGTTTAATCATACTTGAGATTCCGGATTCTGAAAAAATGTGAACATATTCTTTGTACATATTTATAGTTCATTTGACCACATAGTTTTATGAAATTTGAAAATAAGATTCAAATGAATCTAGTCATGCTGGAAAGCCTAATTATAATCAAGACCATTCAAGTTTTTTCCCCAAAGTTTTGATATAACAATATTTGAGAAATTTTGTATGAAACATGTGAAATTTTATGAAAAGTGTTCAGATTAGACAGGTTAATTTTTCAAATATGACTGTTAACTGTTCAAATTGAGAGATGTTCACTTTTCAAGTTATTTTTAATTTGGGAGTCAATGGGAGGAAAAAATGGGACAGAAAAAAGTGTTCAGATTGGGAGGTGTTCTAATTAGCTAGGTGTTCAGATATGCAGGTTCTATTGTATAGAGAAACTGTCTCTCTGGAAAAAATCTTAAATATTCATTGAGTTTTTGTTTGTTTCTAGTTTAATGATCTTGAACAATCAGGGACCACCCTAGTTCCTAAACTGTAGTAAAGTAACTTTCAAATTTATTTTGTTTATAGGCTTAAAACCAATTTTGCCTTCACACAGCCGTCAGTTGCCCTTCTTGAGCGTATAGCTGTCTGCGTGGAGAACAATGAACCAGTTCTTTTAGTTGGTGAGACAGGTACTGGTAAGACGTCAACTGTGCAGTATCTAGCCAGCCAGTCAGGTCAAAGCTTGCGGGTTGTGAATATGAATCAGCAAAGTGATAGAACAGACTTGTTAGGAGGGTAAGTAGGTGTGACTGAATTATGCAAGCAAGATATATAAAATTATATCAAGTGACTTCTTTATTATTATCCCATCGAACGAAGTTCGGAGGGATATAGGGAACGCCTCCGTCCGTCCGTCCGTCCGTCCATCCGTCCGGGCAATAACTCAAATACCGTTGGCCTGATTTTGTTCATATTTTGTACACATACAGGGTGATCCAGAAGTAACGTCAAAGACATTGTAATTTCAAAAGTATTCATCAGATCTTCATGAAATTTGGTATACATGTACCCACAACATTTCTGAGTTACCATCTCAAAGATTGGAATTCAATCATTTCATTGGTTGAAATTATGGTTGCTATAGTAACCCGATATCGCGTAACCCGGGGCAAATTGAAGAGAAACCATAACGTTTTTGTGAATTTCTCTAATTTAAAAAGTCAGTAACACTTGAAAATGTTCATTGTTTGTTTTCTATGATTTTTATATTTGTTGCCATGGTAACAAATATGTAATAGTTGTGATGTCACAATAGGCATTCATAAAAAGCTTTCAATTTCTTTGAATTGCTTCCATCATCCATGACAAATACTAACATGACCAAGGACACTAACCCACCCAATTCAAGATGGCGCCAAGTCAGAGTAAAATATATATATGGGGGTAGAAGTTCTGCTCGAAAGTCGATTTTCAAAATGGCCGCTCATTTTTTAAAAATGGTGGCCATTTTAGTGCCGATTTTACAGTAATTTAGGTGCAATATGTAAAACTGTAATAGCAATATGTTTTAAATGTAAAAAATTATGTAGGACATTAATAAAGCTAGAAATGTAGATATTAAAAAAGCACATGGCAGCCATCTTGAAAAATGGCGGCCTTTACTCATTATTTTAAGATTTTTGCTGTAACTCGAAAAGTAGTAGAGCAATTTTGTTTATATTTGGTATGTGAATACTATAAGCATGGCACACTGTCTAATGACACTTTTGGTAGAAGGTGGCCATTTTGAAAAATGGCGGACATTTTGAAAAATGGCCACCATTTTAGCTTATTTTACTATAACTCGAAAAGTAGTGGAGCTATTTTGTTCATATTTGATATGTGAATATTATAAGCATGGCACACTGTCTAATGACACTTTTGGTAGAAGGTGGCCATTTTGAAAAATGGCTGCCATTTCAACGTTTTTTACTATAACTCGAAAAGTAGGGGAGTGATTTTGTTCATATTTGGTATGTGAATACTATAAGCATCGCACACTGTCTAATGATACTTTTGGTAGAAGGTGACCATTTTGAAAAATGGCTGCCATTTTTGCTATATACTTTGTTTGTAAAAATGCCAGCTATGGCTGTTCGATGGGATTCGCTACGCTTTGGCGTTGCCGTTGTTCTGGTTATTTATTGATTTCTGCCCAAGTATACACCCAATGATATTAAAGACTTTAAGCAAGGACATTGTGAAAATGAGTGCTTAGTGCCTTAGTGTAACCCTTAAATGTCTGCCCCCCCTCCCCAAGGAATTCTTTGATAACATTTTTTGTAGTTTGTCTTTTGATCTTAAATTTCCTAGCTTATCTTGAAATTGAATTAGGCATGTGTAAGCAAAAGAATTGTGACTCTAACCTCCCTAGGAGGAAAGTTAAAGCTTGTTGAAGTTACCAAAACTTTGACTTTGTAACGATAAACCCCTATGTTCTTATAGAATGAATTTCTTTATCAATAGTGGCTCAATATAGTTACAAGTAAGCTCAAAATACTGGCAATTGAATAACCTTTCCAATGATACCTAATACAACCTCCCATGATTGTTCGTTTCTGAGATCCCAGTGGGTGGGGGGCAGATCTGCACCCCCTAGCTGTTGGTGTAATTCTCTATAGCCTAACCTTTTAAGGGTTAAGAATAGATGTTAAGAAAGTTTTTAGTATCGTTAAAATCATCCAAATGTTATTTGTCATAACTTAAAAGATATTGTTTGAAACAATTTTTGAAAAAAGTTGACTTTCAAAATGTTGTCCCCTTAACATTTGAAGATCATCAAATACAAAACACATTATATTCTCTATTCTATAGGATAGATCAGGTAAAAATTACACCTTTTCAACCATTCTCATTAATTTTAAGATATTAGAGAGGATAAGATTTCACCGTTTGGACGATGAAAACTCTAAACCTGAATGTAAAGTTCGACTTGTTTTATAATCTTGTCGATGTGTAGGTTCAATGTAAATTCAATAGGGTCATTTGGGTTTCTGTCTTGCGTTGAACCTGTAACGCGGGAGATTGTGAGTGAGGGTAAGATTACATAACTTTGGAGTACTTATTTCATGGTTTCAATAATTTTACATGGCCATTGAGCCGCGAAACTCCAGCTTTTCGAGTTGGCAGTAACATGAGTTTTGTTCCATGAATTAATGACTAAAAAAAAGCAAAAGTATGTTTATTCATGTTCTTAATTTGAAAGTAGCATATCTGTTGAATGTTGTGTATGCATTTAAATTGCTCAGAATAAATCATTTGTGGGTAAACTAGCCCTGGGAAAATAGCATATATTTCCTAAGATAGATTAGGTGCAATGATTGCCATAGCCATGTTCAAATATATGCTACCACACTGTTACTTAGCTCTATCGCAACAAAAGGATACAAGTACTATTCACAAGTACAGCCAATCATTCGTGGCCATCTCATCCTTTTTAGTTTAAAAACCGTGCATCTTATCCTCTCTATTTTATGTTGGAAGTATCTTAATAACCAGCTGTTGGTTTGTTGAATATGAAACATCTTACTTCCAGGTACAAACCTGTAGACCTGCGCCATCTGGTGGCACCATTACGTGAAGATTTTGAGATTCTGTTCTGCAGTAGTTTCTCCAGGAAACAAAATATCAAATTTTTAAAGCATGTTCAGGTAGGGATTATAGTTTCTACAGTTCAATAATAGCTTCAACCAATGTTAACTCAGTTATGTTGACCCTGAATGACCTCAATAATGTTGACCTGAAATGACATTAGAAATGACGATCTTGAATGACCAATTGCCATGGTGAAGTTATTTTAGATCCTAAGTGCGTAAATGTGTAAACTCTCCCAAAATTATAAATGTGAATATATTAATATTAACATTTATAGGAAATTAACATGTAGAACATTTTGCTTGAAAAAATGTATGAAGTTTCAGAAAAAAGATATGAGAAGGAATGACATGAGCCGAAAATGTAACCTTTGATATATCAAGATTGTTTATATTTTCTGTTTCTATTACTAGGAATGCTTCAGCAGAAGGAGATGGCCTGACCTATTTAAGTTGATGGAGCATTCCCATGGAGCAGCACTGAAGAAATATGCCTCAGACAACACTTCTCGTGAAAAATGGCGGCAACTTGGACTTCGTCTTCAGCAGATGAAGATCCAAGTGAAACACACAGAGAATACTTTGGCCTTCTCTTTCATAGAGGTATTTAATGAAACTTCAACAAATCAATTGAAGGAGTGATATTGAATTCATAAGATTATATCCATTTGCTCCCTACTTTTATTACTTAAGAATAAACAATGTTGCTTAACTGTTTAAATTTGAGATATATTGAGATATACAGGGTGTCCCGAAAGTATGGGGCCCCCCTAGGCAGACATATACCAATGTCTCCATAGTATGTGTCATATATCATTATAAAGCTCAACCAAAGTTACTTTAATTTGCCAAGTATCATGGTTCAACTCACAAATGGGAAAAAGTTGCAGGCATTTCAAAATTTAGTGTTGGGCCAAAATTAAAGTCGGTGTGTCTCCTTAGCCGCCATGTTAACAGCAACAATACTTTCTGTATATGACCTTAAACGCGCTTCAAATAGGGATGTGACATTTTGTAATCCTCATAAAACCTTTTTAAGGCATTTAAGAAGAGTTTCCTTGGAGTATCTACCCTAAACGTCCTCTTTTTAGAACTCAACATCCATCCTATCTTCGAGAATAGCATCCATATTTTCGGTCACATTCAGGTCAGGGCTGTTTCCAGGATACTGAAATGAACTATATTTTTGGCAAACACCAAGTTTTGAAATGCCAGTAACTTTTTACCTTTTGTGAGTTGAACCATCATACTTGGTAAATCAATGTAACTTTGGATATATGACACATACTATGGAGTCATTGGTCAATGTTTGCCTAGGGGGGGGGCCTATACTTTCGGGGCACCCTGTATGTAATTGCCATCTTTATGCCATAAAATTGACAACCCATGTAATTGCCATCTTTATGCCATACTTCAGGGAACGCTAGTGCAAGCCATCAAGTGTGGAGACTGGGTGCTGCTGGATGAGATCAACCTGGCATCTGCAGAGACTTTAGAGTGTCTAGGAGGTCTCCTAGAGAGTAATGCAGGCTCCTTAGTCCTCTTAGAGAGAGGGTAAAGCACATTTTTATGTGTGTTTGGTTGTCATAGAGACTGGTCTATTTTATTAACCCCTTGGATACAATATCTACCTGGTTGTTTCTATCCTGTCTTGTAACCGTTCAAAATGATAAATGATTTGATAAAGTATGCTAGTATGTGTAGTTGCAGTTTTACTAGTTATGTGATGAGTTCAGCTTATTAAGCTCATATCATATATTCTTCTCAAGGATACAATATTGTTTGCTCTGTGCTTTGTTATTAATGTTATTTTCCTGATCATTAGGGACACAGAACCTATTGAGCGCCACCCAGATTTCAGACTGTTTGCCTGTATGAACCCTGCCACTGATGTTGGCAAAAAAGACCTTCCATTGGGAGTCAGGAACAGGTTAGTTATTTCAGACTGTTTGCCTGTATGAACCCTGCCATTGATATTTGCAAAAAAGACCTTCCATTGGGAGTCAGGAACAGGTTAGTTATTTCAGACTGTTTGCCTGTATGAACCCTGCCATTGATATTGGCAAAAAAGACCTTCCATTGGGAGTCAGGAACAGGTTAGTTATTTCAGACTGTTTGCCTGTATGTACCCTGCCATTGATATTGGCAAAAAAGACCTTCCATTGGGAGTCAGGAACAGGTTAGTTATTTCAGACTGTTTGCCTGTATGAACCCTGCCATTGATATTGGCAAAAAAGACCTTCCATTGGGAGTCAGGAACAGGTTAGTTATTTCAGACTGTTTGCCTGTATGAACCCTGCCATTGATATTGGCAAAAAAGACCTTCCATTGGGAGTCAGGAACAGGTTAGTTTTTTCAGACTGTTTGCCTGTATGAACCCTGCCATTGATATTGGCAAAAAAGACCTTCCATTGGGAGTCAGGAACAGGTTAGTTATTTCAGACTGTTTGCCTGTATGAACCCTGCCATTGATATTGGCAAAAAAGACCTTCCATTGGGAGTCAGGAACAGGTTAGTTATTTCAGACTGTTTGCCTGTATGAATCCTGCCATTGATATTGGCAAGAAAAACCTTCCATTGGGAGTCAGGAACAGGTTAGTTATTTCAGACTGTTTGCCTGTATGAACCCTGCCATTGATATTGGCAAGAAAAACCTTCCAGTGGGAGTCACAGATTAGTTGACACTCAACACTGAGAGTTACTTTCACAAAATTGGGAATCATGAATTCTTGATATTCTCAGGAATTGGTACGAAAAGTACATAGAGTTTCAACATTGCCAGTCATACCAAATAGTATGATTGAACCTGTTTGGATTATTTTGAGATTCGTCCACATAAATACTTTATCTTCAAGCTCAGGAAATTTACTTATATTTTAAACTGTACCAGTTAAGGATGCGAATAAGTATTTGATTTCAGATTCACAGAGTTCTTTGTTGACGAACTAACTGAGGTGCAGGATTTGAAAATCTTGGTCAATGAATATTTGAAAAGTCTATCACTCTCAAAACAACATATAGATGGCATTGTGCAGTTTTATTTGGCTATCAGGAAAGAAGCGTCACAAAAGTTGACAGATGGTACAGGGCATAAACCTCATTTCAGGTAAACTTTACATGGAATAGACTAGGTGCGAGTAGAAATAATCTTGATTTACGTCATTAAATATTCAAAATCCAGTCAAACTGATGTCATATTTGAAATCTACGTGTAAAAGTACTTCTAGAAATATGGTTTAGAAAATTGTTTATCAACTTTGAAAATTTAATTTGTTTTGAAAATGTGATTTCTAGTTCGGGTTGATTCCCCATAGACCCCATGTTACAAAATCACAAAAAGTGACATATCTTTTCTTGTATTGGACAGATAACATTTTCCTTTACTGGACATATTATAATTTTCATAACTATTAGATACATAAGGGTTATACGAAAATTGAACCACTAAAACAGATGTAATTTAAGTTAAAGGGAACTTTCTACTATACCCGCCATGTTATCTGACCCGAACGAGCCATCTGGTGGTGAAATTGGTAACTTCCTATTCGCATCTATGTTATTAACGGTATGCTTTATACAGGGTGGCTCAATAAAAATGTTACAAGTTTAAAAATATCAATATTTTTTTAAATTTTGGCGTTTACCCTAAAATATACTTGAGTTCTTGAAGAGCAAGCTCTCTCTTGATTTGACACCAGCAGATTCAAAACCATTCCTCTTGTGGGGCCACCTAAAGACAGGTCTTCACAACACTAACAACTGATCTGAATGAATCTTATTAAAGAATGATTGATAAAGTCAGTGTGGTATGACAAAAAAGGGAGCTCATCACACGTGCTTCTAGGGACATGTAGAGGCGAAATGTTAAAGAAGTGCTTCCTCTTTTTTCCTTTTAACCACTGAGAAGGTGTTGCAAGTCAGATTTCAGTTGAGTCAAAGAAATCTATCCTGTGTAGTCAACCATTGAAGGATTTAAATCTACTGGTGTCAAATTAATCGAGAGAGCTTGTTCTTTAAGAACTGAATTCATATAAATGCTAGAATTAAAAAATAAAAGCCATTTTGTACTTGTAGCATTTCTATTGAGACACTCTGTAGTTGAAAATCAAAACAGATTTTCCTAAATTATAGTAGATATTAGAGAAGGGTCAGTCACGGTTCGGTTTGATTAACCGCAGTTTTTGTCCCCATGGTTCTACTGGGACCGTCTGATCACCAAGAACCGAGTCCAGAACGGTTCCATCACTCCGGGGGAAATACTTTATTTTTTTGCAGTGTAAGACGAATCCCAATTTTTGCGCAAATAATTACATACGCTGCAGATTTCCAATTTTTGTGATTGAAACTTTTTGTAAAATTTTTTAATTTTAAAAATTAGACTCTTTATTAGACTTCAATTCATTCCCTATCTTGTAACTGCTTTCTATTACCCACTCATAGTAAAAAATTTTATGACTGATGATATATAAACTTTTTCATTTTTTGTTTTACCCCAGGTCCTAAGTCAGGTTGAGAATGGGTAAACACCCCTACCCCACCTAGCCCACTGCACTGTTATTCCCAAATGAAGGACATCTGTACTATCCATATAATTTCAATTTATGAGGAAACACATTGAAAGGTCTTACCCAACCAGACCCAGTTTAAAAAGGAATCCCTCCCATTTAGTACAGGGCAAGCGGCTTTGATAGCCAAGTACTAATAGTTCAATTATAGTTATTTAATTCCATAAATATTCAATGATTATCAGCTATCACAATTCTATATTGATCATTTATAAGATTGAAAACAAAATTATATCCACTAATAATACAAAATAATAGTGAAACACCTTTTTATGTTGCCATATTTGTGGCATCAATTGCAATTTATGAGGCCAAACATATTAAGTAAATGATTGAAGAACCGACCGAACCGAGAGACAAGAACCAAGAATCGTACCGAACCGAACCGAATCGAACTGACCGACCCTTCTATAGTAGATATATAATGTTGTAATTTTTTAGAGCTACGTGAAGATACACTAGCAACAAATAGCTACAAATGTGCCCCCTCTGAGCAATATCATTTTCAACAAAAGCATATTTTGAGCTTTACAATGAAATAAAGATGATATTGTGACATCTTTCAGTTTGCGTACACTGTGTAGAGCTTTGAAACAGGCCTCCTTCAACCAGCAAGGGAGCATCTCCAGATCTCTTTATGAGAGCTTCTGCCTAAGTTTCCTTACTCAGCTCGATAGGAGCTCCCACCCTGTTGTGGAAAACCTGATTTGTCAGCACATAGTGGGCAAATCCAAAATAAAGTCCATGTTGAAACATGCCCTGCCTCAACCATTGGAGGGCAAGTATCTACAGTTTGAAGGCTATTGGCTGAGCAGTGGGCACAAGGACCCTGTAGCACCTGATGGTTATGTGTTGACACCATCTGTCCGTGCTAACCTCAGAGACTTGGCAAGAGTTGTATCAGCTGGGTATGTTACATTTAATGGCCATGTCATTTCTATAGAATAACAATATTTATAAATATAAACAATACTTTCAGAACCTTTGAATGGATTTTGTATATTAATGCCAAAACATGTTAATTTTCCCTTTCTATCTTAATTTTTATGAATGTGTTTTTAGTCGCTATCCAGTATTACTACAGGGAGAGACATCTGTTGGTAAAACAAGTCTGATCACTTGGCTTGCTAAATCATCAGGCAATGAGTGTGTACGCATTAACAACCATGAACACACTGACCTTCAGGAATATATAGGATGTTACTCAGCTGACAATACTGGAAAACTCGTATTCAAAGAAGGTACATTTTTAGCTAGTTACTTTAACATGCAGCGCAGTTTCATGAAAAAATGGTATTTAAAAGACAGTAAGAGAGTGCATTCAGATCATCCCTTGTTGTTTGGAACAAATCCTAGAAGAATCCTCCAATGTCTTGATTATTTTCTTATCCGAAATATTATAAATATTGTTCAATGTATTTGTATGGTCACATTCACTTATTTTGCGCATTGGACTTATTCTTTTGTATCCTGTACAGGTGCATTTGTCGAGGCCATGAGACAGGGGCATTTGATTATACTGGATAAACTTATTCTTTTGTATCCTGTACAGGTGCATTGGTCGAGGCCATGAGACGGGGGCATTTGATTATACTGGATAACTTATTCTTTTGTATCCTGTACAGGTGCATTGGTCGAGGCCATGAGACAGGGGCATTTGATTATACTGGATAAACTTATTCTTTTGTATCCTGTACAGGTGCATTGGTCCAGGCCATGAGACAGGGGCATTTGATTATACTGGATAAACTTATTCTTTTGTATCCTGTACAGGTGCATTGGTCGAGACCATGAGACAGGGGCATTTGATTATACTGGATGAACTTATTCTTTTGTATCCTGTACAGGTGCATTGGTCGAGACCATGAGACAGGGGCATTTGATTATACTGGATGAACTTATTCTTTTGCATCCTGTACAGGTGCATTGGTCGAGGCCATGAGACAGGCGCATTTGATTATACTGGATGAACTTATTCTTTTGTATCCTGTACAGGTGCATTGGTCGAGGCCATGAGACAGGGGCATTGGATTATACTGGATGAACTTATTCTTTTGTATCCTGTACAGGTGCATTGGTCGAGGCCATGAGACAGGCGCATTTGATTATACTGGATGAACTTATTCTTTTGTATCCTGTACAGGTGCATTGGTTGAGGCCATGAGACAGGGGCATTGGATTATACTGGATGGACTTATTCTTTTGTATCCTGTACAGGTGCATTGGTTGAGGCCATGAGACAGGGGCATTTGATTATACTGGATGAACTTATTCTTTTGTATCCTGTACAGGTGCATTGGTCGAGGCCATGAGACAGGGGCATTGAATTATACTGGATGAACTTATTCTTTTGTATCATGTACAGGTGCATTGGTTGAGGCCATGAGACAGGGGCATTTGATTATACTGGATAAACTTATTCTTTTGTATCCTGTACAGGTGCATTGGTCGAGACCATGAGACAGGGGCATTTGATTATACTGGATGAACTTATTCTTTTGTATCATGTACAGGTGCATTGGTTGAGGCCATGAGACAGGGGCATTGGATTATACTGGATGAACTTATTCTTTTGTATCCTGTACAGGTGCATTGGTCGAGGCCATGAGACAGGCGCATTTGATTATACTGGATGAACTTATTCTTTTGTATCCTGTACAGGTGCATTGGTTGAGGCCATGAGACAGGGGCATTGGATTATACTGGATGAACTTATTCTTTTGTATCATGTACAGGTGCATTGGTTGAGGCCATGAGACAGGGGCATTGGATTATACTGGGTGAACTTATTCTTTTGTATCCTGTACAGGTGCATTGGTTGAGGCCATGGGACAGGGGCATTTGATTATACTGGATGAACTTATTCTTTTGTATCCTGTACAGGTGCATTGGTTGAGGCCATGAGACAGGGGCATTTGATTATACTGGATGAACTTATTCTTTTGTATCCTGTACAGGTGCATTGGTTGAGGCCATGAGACAGGGGCATTTGATTATACTGGATGAACTTATTCTTTTGTATCCTGTACAGGTGCATTGGTTGAGGCCATGAGGCAGGGGCATTTGATTATACTGTATGAACTTATTCTTTTGTATCCTGTACAGGTGCATTGGTTGAGGCCATGAGACAAGGGCATTGGATTATACTGGGTGAACTTATTCTTTTGTATCCTGTACAGGTGCATTGGTTGAGGCCATGAGACAGGGGCATTTGATTATACTGGATGAACTTATTCTTTTGTATCCTGTACAGGTGCATTGGTTGAGGCCATGAGACAGGGGCATTGGATTATACTGGATGAACTTAACCTCGCACCAACTGATGTACTAGAAGCCCTCAATAGACTACTGGATGACAACAGGGAACTATTTATTGCTGAAACACAAGAAATTGTCAAGGCACACCCAAAATTTATGCTCTTTGCTACCCAAAATCCACCAGGGCAATATGGTGGGAGAAAGGTAAGGATTTTTCAATTTCTTTTAAATTTTGAATTTATTTAATAGAAATATGGCTTTAGTGAGGATTCTGTGAAGACACACATAGAAACAGGGCTTGAGCTAAGCATTGGTAAGGTGGTCATGACTGACAGATTCAGGGAACAGTTTCATGTATTCCTTCAGACCATTCTAATAACCACCCATATACTGTAAGAAGTCAAAAATCCCCGGGAATTTGATGTATGGCAATTTTTCTTTCCAAGAATGCCTTATTTGCAACATCAAATTGAAGTAACTGCATATTTTTACAATAATGATATGTATTGATATTGGAGAGATTACGGTAAAGATCGCTTAAATAAAGCAATATTGACAGAAATTGAGGAAATCCCCAGCAGAGCCCCCCGATTATTTTCAATATTTCTACTAGTGACTGTTTGATATCATAAGTTATACCTTATCTTTTAATCATTTTTCATGTATAAGTCATGTAAAAGTTGAGAAAGATTGCATCCCATATATTCACTATTCCTTGTATTTATTTTATTTTATTTTTTCAATTTATTTCAATTTCCTTGATATTGATATAAATACAAAAGTATGCCTTTGTTAACTTAATAACATTATCGGCATAGTAAATATTAAAAATATAACACAGGAATTTACACAATACAAAAACCACGTAGTATGTTCAGTCTGTATATATGCTTGCTCCCCATCCCACCCATGAGGTTCCCAAAGGATTTTAGAATGTTTCACTGGCTGTTTAAAACTGTGATTGCTGTTGAGACATAGTGAGCCACGATTTCAATAATTTTGCTATTCATCACATCACTAAGGTTGGTATCCCCATACAAAAGTGTATCTGATTTCTTAGAGGTTGTTAAATTTCTGAAATCGGGCAGACATTCCAGTTCGTCGAGTCCTGCAAGAAGCAATTCCCTTTCATTTATGAGCAGTGGACTTTTGATTAGAAAATGAGAAGTGGTTTGATGAGCTGCACCACATGGACATTTGTGATCATTAATTGTGGGCATGTAAATGGCTATTAAGCAAGAGTCCAGCTCTAAGTCTGTTGAAAGTAATTTCTGTTTGTCTTGGCATAGTGTACTCCATTTTGGATGTGGGTAAGGATGCATGGCTCCTTTGCTTCCTGACTGATCTTTTGAATCTTGAGATTGGCTGCCCAACTCGGATAGTTGGTGGAAGCCCATTCCAAGCTGAGATGGCACTAAAAATTGTAGATTTTTTAGTTGAGACACTAGTATGTAATGGAATCTGATAATCTGGCTGATCTCTCAGCCTTCTAGTGTGAACAATTTCATAAGTTCTCACCACATCACAGATGAAGGGAGGTAAAGCATTAAAGCGCGCCTTAAAAATAAAAATTTTTAAGTGCTCATCTCTTCTCGATGCCAGCTTTTTCCAATTTAGAGAAGAAAGTACCTTATCAGTATTTGACCCATGAATAGCACCTGAAACTAGGCAGGCTGCTCTATAGTGCAGACTTTCGAGAGCTTGGAGCTTAAGAGCTGATGCTTTATTGTAAATTATGTCACAGTAATCTAAGTGGGGTATGAAGTAAGCATTGTAAATTGTTTCGAGATGTTTTTCTTGATAACTTTTTACTAAGAGCCTTCAGTAGCCTCATTAAAATTGTCAATTTGTTAATCAGTTGGTCAATGTGGGCATTAAAGTTTAAGTGTTTATCTAACACTATTCCTAAGTGCTTATGGGTATCTGTCATTGGTATTTGCTCATTTCCTAAGGTTAATGATGGTTGAGCTGCTAATTGGGTTCTTTGACCATAAAAGGTTAGATCAGCACTTTTTTGGGCTTTAAATTGCATGCGCCAAGTGGTTGCCCATTGATTAAGATTGTTCAAATCTTGTTGAAGGGGTTGATTTAAATTCAATAGCATGTCAGAGTTTCTGTCATAGGCATCATAAAGTGACGTATCATCAGCAAAAATGAAAGCTTTGGAGTTTAAGTTGTCAGGTAAATCGTTAATATATATTAAAAATAGTAGGGGACCCAAAACAGAACCTTGGGGAACACCGGCATTTATAATATATTGGGGTTTATTAGGATTATTGACCAAAATGTTGTTGTTACCAATTAATTCAGGATCAGAGGACCAATCGGAAAGGCAGTTATTAATACGCACTTTAACCCTTCTGTCTTTAAGATACAAAGTCATTAATAGAATAATTTTATTGCTACATCCGTATGCTTTAAGTTTTTTTATTAAGAGTTTGTGAGGTACCAAATCAAATGCAGACATCAGGTCTAAAAATATTGAACGGACATTTTTCTGTTGATCAACATTAGTTTGTATATCATGAACAATGTTGATCAGTTGATTCACCGTGTTGTGGTAAAAAACCACTTTGAAATTTATACAAGAGATTATTATCCAGTAAATGAAGAAGGAGTCTGTTGTGGATTATTTTTTCTAATACTTTGG